TTTTATGGAGCTTGGTACTAGAAAGCATCATTCTCTTTCAGCTATAATGAAAAGTACATTAATTACGGGGTAGGATACAGATAGTTGGCCAATGTACTTGGCATCATTATTGCTTTTGGTATCTACCCTTACGATAAAAAATGCGTTCTCTGCCGTTTTCACCGATTCGTTTCAATCCCTCGCTCACCAAATCGTACTCTATTCCCGACCACCACCAAAATCCCATTCTAAGTACATTCACTGTCGGCTGCATTTCCTTTAATCAAATTCCTCGACTGGCGCAGCTAATGCCTGCCGTTAACGTGTGTTATCTTATTCCGCCCTTCTCCCTCACTATCTCCATCTCACTTGTACTCGTAATAGTCTCGACAGTCGTGATTTAACGTACATTAATCAACATTACTGCTTCATTGATTCCGCAAAGTGAAGCCGCAAGCGGGATGCACTCGATCAGTGAGCTTTGGCGATGTCTAGGATTGGCAGGAAATCTGAGGCACTAGGTGAAAGGAAACTGAAAATCGTTACATATATGTATGGTTCAAGGCATTACCTTGCAACGGTTCTACCGTCCATGGAGGACCAACATTCCGCCCATCTAGATGCATGTTTGTACTCATCCCCACTTCTAGTGAAATTTCTGACCTTGGGCGACTTCATCTGCAAATATTACGAGATATAAGTCTTTTCTTCTATCAGATTCGTCATACATTTAAGGCGTACTTATTTTTTCGTTTTCCAACAACGCAAAAGGGCACTATGTACTGGTAAAAACAGAAATGCGTGTGTCGAACTAGGAAAATTGGTTGGTGGCCAACCTCTCTTCTACCCTCTCCCTTATCTACGGAGTCCTTCCTTTGTGTGTCTTTTCTTTTGGACCTTATTGAGCCTTTTTTTAGCCCTTACATAAACCCTAGTTTTGAACTCGGACCTGCTTTACATATGGCGTTATTTCGTACTCTTGCCGTTGACCCGATTTTTTGAGATTTGCGAGCCTTAGGCTACCCCAACCTCAGCCTTCCATCAGGCAAGAAAGTTGCAAAGATAAGTTGCCCTTTTATTGCAATGTATAATTTATTCGCCAAGAATTGATCTTTTAATGTATATAATTGTTATTATCTTATTCGTATTTTGATTGATATTACATCTGACAGGTATGTAAATACTAAGAGTCGACTAATAACGGTTTGAACTACCCATATGTCGATATAGACTGACCGATGCAAATCGAAAAGTTAACAAGGATATCAGATCTACTGAGCAAAAACATTATACGAATAATAACAACTTTATTAATGTAACTCTTTTTATGGTTTTTGCATTGAATATAAATTGCACCAACTTTTGATTAAAAATTTTGCTACTATTGCTACTGCTATTATTTCAATGGCTCTATTTTTCGGGATTTCCAATATTTTTGTATAGTATTAAACCTTCAAATCAAGATGCGAGAAACCCGTTTGAGAAAATCTGCGTCTCTTGGACCGGAATTCTACGAAACCGAATTTCTAAGGTTCCTCTAGTTAAGTGCTTTAAATAGTAGCAAAATCAAGTGAAAGAAGATTGGATATTCAGTACATATTCTTGAATTTGATAGACTCGCTCATGTAAGTGCTGCGAGCTGATCAATGTGTGGACACAAATTTAAGTTTTTTTTACTTTGCAGATGTCACCACAAACGCATTTCCGTCATCATGAGGATGTAGATCACTAACGTCGTGATTAATGTTTCTATGTATCCGCTCAAATAAGACTGGTTCATTGAAATACGTTTTTGGAAAACTGTTCCATAATAGTTGTTTTCCCAGTGTGCATCATCTTATAGACGATTATAATAAGTGTTGCGACTAACGTGAGTGCAAACGTTCCTGTTATTTCGATTATTTACAGGTAAACATAAATTGCCGATAGTCCGATAGCTCCGGTATATCGGCCTCTGAAATATGGGCACCAGCAAAAATCGTATATCTGTCGACTCTACTGAATATTATCCAAAAACATTCAATTTTGAGCTACCTTCCGCACTACCTGAACTTGGCTAGATACAGCTTCCTAGCTTTCTGTTCTGCTTCGAGTACCGTCTGAATGACGTGTAATTATACAAATCAAAGAAATTCATTCTCTATCCTACATCTTTAAAATAATGAATTTTGTCTAACATCATAAAAGGCCTTGTTCGTGTCTGGGTAGATAGAGAATGTTGGTCCCATGTTTGAAAAGCAGCCTGCATAGGTACTTCCAAAGCGATGATACATTAATTCATCGTTGGACTCAACATTGGTCACACGTGTGTGCTGCAAAACCATGCAACAACCTCCGATTTTGAATTTTGACTCCTCATTATCTAGTTTCTCACATCTTTCTGTTACTAGTACCTCCCCTTTGTCTTCTCTTCATTGAAGCCATTTGAGTTGGTTCCCTCGCACGCTTTGGATCATCATAATAGTAAGTTTTTTGATGCATAAACTACCAAATAATTGAATATTCTTAAATACTTCAGAGACCAAGTGCTTGATTGATGTAACTATATGCTTGGGGGTATGTTTACATTGTTCCATTGTAAATATATGTAAATTAATTGGTTGAACTTCGTCACACCACATTTCTGGCAGATGCAAAAACCTCTATCTACTCTTTTGTGACTCCGCACTTCAAATAGTTTCCTTCTGTGCTTTCTCTTTGAGGTGTCGTCATTAAAGTCATTAAAATTGGTCCTTTAGTCTATGTGTACCTTTCGTTTTTTAAGATCTCAAGTACAACATATTCAGTATTACCGTAGAGCCATATCGTCAGCCGTTCCTACAACTGTAGGACGCCTGTATGGCATTCTTGATTGTCATAGTATTTTCTCTCCTTCATAAAATTTATAGATTGCACCTGTTCTGTGTGAGCGTCAGCGCTCTCCTATTGTGAAGTTATGTTTTCTCTTTGAATTGTTGGAAATTTCAGGCTGATAAGACATCATGTAAATCAAAAGCATGAACTGTTTGATGCAAATAGATATATGTGACATAACCACAAAATAGAGTGCTGACACGGAAAAGTAGAAAACTATGCAAATCAAGAAGGCTATAAAGGCGTCCTACAATTGTAGGAACGACTGACGATACGGCGCTTAGAGTACACCCCAAGCCTGCACATCACCTTCCAAGGCAAACATACATTAATTCTCCGTTGAAGTTCATCATTCCACACGTCTGGCAGGTGTCAGGCCGAGATGTCGAAAAACCTCTATTTGGAGCTGTTGTGCCTCTACACCTAGATACACACAGCTTCCTGTTACTAGTGCCTTCCCGTTGACGTGTCGTAAATTGGCTGCGAACATTGCTTTTCCTTCCCTCGCACTTCAGCCCCACCACCGGATGCCGGAACATTCCCTGGCATAAATTACCTGCAATTTAGGATTAATTATATACTTCATCAACGACGAGTGTTAAAACAACGCCCCTCTACGCATAACCAGCACCCCTTTGGTCTCCGTTGTTCTATGTTTGTTCATGCCTTATGCTTTAAATGAGATGCCTGGAGAAAGACGCTTCAATAGGACTGAAGAATTTAAGGAACAGTCATCAACATATTATAGTTTTCTGCGATGTAGAAGGTTTGAAGACATATGCAGAGCGCTATTTAGATTAGTTAATTTTTGTCGTCTACAATAAATAGTTTTAGGCAGGCTGACAACCAACAGCGACAGTAGTCGTCTAAAAATAAATTATTTGACTCAACTTCGGAGCTATGTCAGAATTTTCAGAATTCAAAGCAGATCTAAGACTGATCGGTTAATAGGTATAAAACATATCCCAAAATGTTCTGAAATCTAAGCAGACCATTTAGAGCTGACAATACTGCATCATAAATGCAGAATTCCTCTACATCATGTTTATTTGAATTCGAGATATTGTGCAGTTCGATATGCCTAGAGGATTATCTAGGGACCTCCTATCTGATGTATTCCATTTATGGAATGATCTTATCCACTTATTTGGTAAATGCTGAGGTCATTGACACCACAAAGGCAGCTCATCTGTTGCATGATCCCTTTCTATGTAATATTTCGTTCTATGCCCAGAGAGGCTTTGCTGCCAGATGGCTAACGTCCTTTCCTGTGGTAGCTTCATACCAAATTGTCAATACTGGTGTTCCGCAGGGATTCGCCTTGGCAGTCAAATTGACATGCGTTTACGTTTTCTCTTCAAGACTACAATACTTCCTTGCCCGTTGGTATAAAGTTTGTTAAATACCATACGGCACCCATTCCCCATAAATCCACCCCTGATTTAAATCTTGTACAAGGATGTAGTGCCTTCTGTATATCCCGAAATATCCGTGCAATTTTTACGATCACTCGGCGACAGATGTCAACTTTATTATTTTATAAAGCCGGAGAAGCAGATAGTCGATCAAAAACCAATAAAACATTTTATGTGCTCCATCCTGCAGCATCTTCGCGAAATGATGCAATATAGTTTGCGCCCTCAGATCCAGCCAGAATGAAATGAACAGGGGCTTGAAGATATCAATACAAAGAGGTCAAGCTTTGCCATCATGTATGGATTTCCTTATAGTCGAAATCACGAAAGATGACGATTACGTCATACCATAAATTGTAACGAAATAATTACCGGACGTACGTCGATGATAAGGTTACGATGTCAGGAACATGTGATCGAAGTTAGCTGATTTCAGTGATTATTTTTGTTTATTCTATTTCATGATTTTAAATTATCATTATCCGTGCACAAATTTACATTTTAAAACTTCTATTTGCAATAAAATTACATATTTAAAAAAAAAACAGCATTTCCTCTGTTCACAATAATAGTACGTATTTTGAACCTATTTTTCATCTAATATTGTTGAGTCCCTAGAGTTCTTACCAAAATCATAATAATACATTGGTATCAGCTCCATTAAAACGACCAATTGATTCTGAGAACATGGTTTTATTTTATAAAAAAAAATACAAACACAAATAAGCATACCAAAGTGAAAATATTTTTGTACTATTTCATGTCATGCCATCCACTATTCATTTTAGCATAAGCTACAAAATTATATAAAACATATATCAAATAAAATAAACTGTACATTTCAATATGTTATTCCATTACTTATGGTCAAATTCAGATTAAAAATTAATCGCTACTGTCAGATTCAGTATCGCTATCTGAATCAAATGAGATTATCAGTGGTTCTATTTCATGAGTAATAGTTTTGTTGTACCACTCTAAAATTACATCATGGGTATGCTTCACACATTTTTTCCAAACCTCTGGTGTAATTTGTGACAGAGCTTCATTCCACATAGCTAAAACATTTTCATCACTATGACCACATCTTCCAATATGTCTATCATAATACTGCTTAGCATTGGCCCATATTAACTCGATGGCATTAAATTGACACGGGTATGGGGGGGTACGAAGAACTTCATGTCCATAACTTCTTATGATTCCATCTATTAAATACTTCTTTTCCTTACGATTTCTTTTCACTATATTCAATAACTCCACTTTAGTTAATGTTGGTTGGAACACAATTTCATTTTAACCAGCCAGTCAATAGTCTCTTTTTTTGGAGAACTTGTGTTTGGAGTCTTTTCCAATAAAATGCTATGATAGGATGCATTATCCATAATTAACACTGATGGCTCTTCCAAGTTGCAGAGGAGTTTTTCTTTTAACCACTTAATGAATGTCTCGCCGTTCATATCACCATGGTAATCTGCAGATTTAGACTGTGAGGAAAATAACAGACTTGCTCCATCAACAAATCCTTTTTCACTCCCTGCATGGACGACAATAAATCGCTTTCCTTGAAAGCCCAATGGTCTCCTTACACTTTTTATTGACTCATCTTGCCAAGACTTTTTTGGACTGCCTTTTGAAAATATCCATGTTTCATCCATGAAAACAATTTGATGCGAGGAAGTGTTCACATAGTCATTATAACTTCTCAAAAATTTGGTGCGAAGTAAAGCAATACTGGATTGCTCAACTAGAAATCTTCTATTACCATCTTTTTTATATTTAAAGCCTATGGTGGGCAGCACTCTTTGTAAAGAGCTATTGCTGATAGAAGCAAGCTCTTTCTCTTTAAGCGTTTTATTCAAATTTGCTATTGTGACATGTTTCTCTGAAACAAAACAAAAAATCAATAATATGGAATGTACCATCTCACGCTCATTATCATTACTTTCACTATACATTTGATACACTGTATCTCGTATATTATGCCTGACTGCATCAGATAAATCTGTTGTCTTAGACTTTTTTCTGGGTCTCTTCTTTCCAGGTGATCTTAGGACATTATCATTAGATGATAAACGGCGCTGTATTATGGTAATAGTGGACAAACTGATACTTAGTGCCTGAGCCACCCTCTGAAAAATAATATAGAATAAATTGTCAATCATATGACCATATTTCTAACTATTACAAACCTCTTGGACAGCTAACAATGGTAATAGAGGCCTCCATTATCCTTTTCTTGTTGAAAATAATTCAGCAAGGATAGTACCAAGCCCTGTGATTGAGAGCTAAGAGTTTTGCCTTTCATAGCGAAAACTAAAATTAAAGTCTTAAATGATGCTCTTATGTTGGAAATTATTTAGTTTCTACCTTAATAATAATTTTTATGAGGAGTTTTTGTTTTGAAAAAAACAGTTATACACACAACAGAATACACCTCAAGACAGGAACACCAACGACCAAAGTATTGTTCGAAAACAACCTAACCTGCAACGAACTGTCAACACGCTGACATGACATAACCTCACTTGTCATCTTTCAAATGTGATCGATCATGAAACATGCAAAAATCGTCTGTCTTTATCGGATACATGCAATTCAGCAATACTACTTGTTTAGACAATAAAATTTTGTTTGTCTCTGTCTAACACATCTGAACCTTCATTTAAAAATATTCACAAATGGCTGTCGTTTGTCTTTACTACAGAATAAAATGATGACGTAATCGTCATCTTTCGTGATTTCGACTATATCTGAGTAATTTTGATAAGACGTCAATCTTTCAACAACTTCAGGTATTTGTGTCCTCATTCAAAATTGAATTTGTTGGTGTAGGTTTCCATAGATATTTTGTAGGAGAATTTCAATTTACAAGATTCGTAGAAATTTTTAACTTCATATTATAAGTCATAAAGAGAAAAGTTTTAAAGCATCATCAAGAACGCCCCCGTTGATAAATTTTCACTTTGAAACAAACAACTAACGTGTTTTTAGAATATTAACAAAACTGGGGATACGAAAGAATAGGCACCAACAGAGGGAAGGCCTTTTAAGGGTAATTCTTGTATTGACATGTAAATCGGCCTCTTGTGGCCGCCGCCATATTGGATTTACCATGACGTCAATTTGCTTGTGGTAACGTATGTCATGAAAGTTTTGGTACTATAGTCAACGCCAAACAAAGTGGCGTGCACGTCATCAAGGTGGGTGTGTTGAAAAATTTACATTGTTGCCAAACTTTTTGTAAAATAATAAAATTTATTATTTACATATCTAGGTTTATAAGCAATATTAACCTCAAATGAGAACAAAAATAATAGTATAATAAAATTATAGATCTGTACTTGCATAATCATTAAGTATGACAATTATTGATTAGATGACACTATGAAACTACCATATTTAATTGATAGCTTAAAGGTACTGAATAAAAATCCAAATGGGGTCCTCCAAATTTTATGCATGGTATTTATTTTACAGAATTCATACAGAAAAATGCATTCTAAAATTAGGTAAGCTACTGGTGTAAGCTTTTTCTGTACAATAAAGTTAGTCGGAGTTTCTTTCTTCAGCGCTGTCTGAATCTGAATCTTCATCACTCTCAAAGTTGATTATTAAAGGTTCGATGTCTGGTCGATCAAAAATTCGTTCTCTTTCATACCATTTAAAAATTTCTTGCTCAGTATGTCGAACACTATTTTTCCACATGTCTGGGGTAACCGTTTGTAGAGCCTCGTTCCACATATCCAAACAGTCTTTATCACTGTTACCATCTCTACCAATATGTCTGTTATAGTAACCTTTTGCTATGCCCCAAATTAACTCAATAGGGTTAAATATACAATGGTAAGGAGGCAGACGAAGAACTTTGTGCCCATGTTGTTCCGCCAATTCATCAATCACGTATATTTTAGGTGGTTTGTTTCTAAAAAAGCAGTTATTTTAAGAATAGGAATAAACAAAAGAAATATAAACTGTCGACCAAAATATATATAATTAAGAAGCATTATGTACCGAGCAACAATACTCAATAGCTCTGTTTTAAACATTGTGTTTAAAAATGGTATGTTTTGATTTGTCAACCAGTCTTGGATATTTTTTTTTGTCCATGCATTGTTGGGCACTTTGTTCAATATCATGCTGTGATAAGGGGCGTTATCCAGTATAATCATAGATGGACTCTCCAATTTTTCTAATAACTGATGTTGAAACCATTTCAAAAAATTGTCCTGGTTCATCTCTCCATGGTAATCGCTCAATTTTGTTTTCGAAGAAAATATCGCTTCACTACCCTCAATAAACCCATTTTCATTTCCAGCATATAATATAATGTATCTAAAATATATTAGTTTTAAATTTTATAGTGCAAATTGTGTAAAAGTACATACCTTTTACCATCTGTTTTAATAGCTTTCACGCTTTTTTGGTTTCCATTTTGCCAAGAGCGACCTATGGTCCCATTTTGAAATATCCAAGTTTCATCGAGGAAGACAAACTGGTATAAGGCCTCAACCTTGGCTTGATTGTATTGCCTTAGAAATTCCACCCTTTTCAAAGCTATATTTGGTAGTTCCATGAGCCCTCGTCGCGGATTGTCCTTAAGCCACTTAAATCCAAGATCTCTAAGCAACCGCCTTAAAGACGTGGCACTACCATCAAATAATGCCCTATCTCTTAATCGAGACCATAAAGTTTGTATCGTAACTTGTTCTTCTGAAACCATGTGTAATATGACATTATAATTTAGTTAACAAATTAATGCAAATTTCTGATAAGTTATTATAATAAGATCTTACTTTTGTGATACATATTATAGATCACTTCTCGAATGGCACTTGTATCCAATGTCGCTGTGTTGGTTACACGTTTAATATAACTCCGCTTTTTCTTGGGCGATTCTAAATTTGCATCACTTTTCACACCCTCGGAAATACGACTAACTGTCCTTAAACTAATTTTTAAAGCAGCAGCAACACTCTACAAAAAATGAAATAAAATTTCACTATTATTAATATACATTACATATAATTATTAGTAACCTACCTCTTGAACAGCATTTAAAGGCAACAAAGGCCCGTTGTTGTCCCTTTCTTGCTCAAAGTAGTGCATTAACGAGGCCACGAGTTCCTTACACCGACTATTTAACTGTTTGGGCATCTTTATATACCAAAATTGCCTTTATCTACTCGTAAAATGAATAATTTTGTTTTGAAACAAACAGTTGTTGATTTACAGTATGCGGGGCCAAAGGATTTATAAAGATTTGAAATGCCACAAATTGATTCAGTGTCAAAATTAATACAAATGTCAGTTCCCAGTTTAAATAAGTTTCAAGGTGACAATGTGTCAACGCTGCGAAATCGGTTCAGTGCGTTTACATGTCGATAAGTGATTGGAGCGTTTGCAAAACATTTTATTTCGCATAATCCGTCTAAATTTATCAGAAAGCAACTTATGTGATATTTTAATAACAATGTTTATATGACTATTAACCATAATAAGAGAGTAATGACCATTTTACAATTTATATATCACATTAATATGAAACTGCAATAGAGCAATTGTTTGTGATAGAAACCTAGGCATTAGGTCGGGGAATTTTTATCGTGATGACGTGCACGCCACTTTGTTTGGCGTTGACTATAAATTCATTGGTTTTAATTTCAACAAACACAAAATAATATCAGGTTGCATTTGGAAACAAGAGTTTGTTTACTTACTACTGTCAGTTTACATTTATTTACCGTTTGACAAGTCAGTGACTTTTTGAATTTCCCGCGCAGTAACTTTGAATGCCGTCATCTGCCATCTCTTATATGGCACTGTCAAAATTTGAATGAGCTATGTCATTTCATTTGAGTTTGACTGCCGCTGAAAGTAGACAGTCGCATAAATTCTAAAATGGAGAAAAGTCAATTTCGTGTTCTAATTAAACATTATTTTTTGCGTAAAGAAACCATCACTGCAACCAAGAAAAGGCTTGACAAATACTATGGGGACTCTGTACCATCTACTTTAATGGTGAAGAAGTGGTGTACTGAGTTCCGTTGTGGTCGAACCAGCACAAGTGATGCCGAACGTTCAGGTCGCCCAAAAGAGGTCATCACACCAGAAATCGTGGATAAGATCCATGGGATGATATTGGAAAATCGAAAAAAAATACGTGAAGTATCTGAGGCTGTAGGCATCTCTACTGAGCGCGCACATCACATTTTACATGAATACTTGGACATGAAAAAACTATCCGCGAGATGGGTGCCGCGATTGCTCACAGTCGACCATAAGCGCAACCGTGTGACCATTTCAAGGGAATGTTTGGCGATGTTTAGCCGTAATCCGAACGAATTTTTGCGCCCTTTTATAACTGTTGACTAAACATGGATTAATCACAATACACCAGAAACCAAAGAACAATTAAGACAGTGGGTTTCACATGGTGAGCCTGCTCCAAAGAAGGCCAAAGTAGGTCTGTCAGCCAGCAAGGTTATGGCCGCATTTTTCTGGGATGCATGCGGTATCATTTACATCGATTACCTTGAGAAGGGCAAAACGATCACGGGAGAGTACTATTCAGAGCTGTTAGACAGATTCAACGTTGCTTTGAAGCGAAAACGACCGCATTTGGCGAAAAAAAAATTGCTGTCCCATCAAGACGACGCACGGGTACACACGGATGTAGTCTCGGTGGCAAAAATGCATGAACTGGGCTACGAACTGCTGCCCCATCCAGCCTATTCTCCAGATTTAACCCCCTAGTTCCAAACCTGAAAAACTGGCAGGGTGGTAAGAAATTTGGGTCGAGAGAAGAGGTCATCATTTGAACAAACTCATATTTCGGGAGCCTTGATAAAAACTACTATTCGGAAGGAATTCAGAAATTGGAAAAACGCTGGACTAAATGTATCGAGCTAAAAGGAGATTATGTTGAGAAATAAAATGCTTAATTGCCGAAAAACATTTTTTTCATTTAAAAAATCACTGACTTATCAAACAGCCCTCGTATTTTGAAGTTTTCGCTTTGAGATGTCGTATAAATAAGAAATAAGAAATAGTATCTACAAGTTGGTTGAGCGGGTACCCAAAGTTGAAATCGGTCGAATATTCCAGAATGGAAATGGTTCACGCAGAATCATCTATCGAACAATAGTGTAGTGCGAGCATGTCTAAATCTCCCAAAAAGTGAAACATCAGGTATATTTGCTGCACAGAGGTAAGAGAGATTGGTGAGAAGAACAAAAAATCAGGTTGGAATGTCAACAAGGAGACTGGCTCGTCAATAGAGATCTTCTAAGACTACGATATCGTTGGAATTGAGGAGAAATGGTCTTAAATATCGAAAGAGACTTAAGTACCTACCGAGATGCTGTCATCAACTGAGGCGGGTGCACGTTTCTAATGGAAAAATCATCATTTTAGATGACGAAAAGTATATCACTTTGAGTAATTCTGAAATAAAGGGAA